ATGTGGACCGCAGATGTGAGCACAGCCTTCCTGCAGGGCCGAAGTCAGGACCGCAAACTCTGGGTCAAGCTTCCGTCTGAAGCACTGGCATTGCTCGGCGCCGACGAGGACACTCGTATGCTGTTGTTGAAGCCATGTTATGGCCAAATTGATGCACCACGTGGCTGGAGGCCATGCGCTTGACCCCTGCGCCTTCCTGGTCTATGAGTTGGATGACCCCAACTATGACGCCAGTGACCCAGTGCATGAAACTGTGAACAGCTTTGGCGACCACCGCATGGTTGGAATGATCATCATGCATGTAGATGACCTACTTGGCACTGGTTGTCCAAACAGCCCCCGCTACCAGGCAGTTGTTGCGATGCTCAAGAGCAACTTCAGCTTCCGTGAATGGAAAGAAGAACAACGTGTCCTGGAGTACTGTGGTTGCGAGCTGGAGAAGACCAGCAGTGGTGGACGCAAGCTGCATCAGACCAAATACATGGAGAAGGTGAAGCCCATCAACTATATGACAAGAAGCGCTCAGCGACCGACCACCTGCATGAGCGAGAGGTCACGCAGTTGCGTGGTTTGTTGGGCTCACTACAGTGGCCGGCAGTGCAGACATCTCCACACTTGCAGTGTAGCACCTCTCTCATGGCTGTACATGTGAACCATGGCACTGTCAGCAAGCTGGCCGAATGCAACAGGTTGCTCAAGTTTGCCAAGGACAACAAGGACATTGGCCTGACCTATAACCACTTGGGTCCACTGAGCAAGCTGCGCCTGCTTTGTTTCTTTGATGCTGGTTTCTCCACCCGCGCTGATGGTTCCTCGCAAGGAGGCTACATCATGATGTTAGTGAATGAAGACCTCATGCGCTCAGATGAGGAGGGTGAGTGCCACATCATTGACTGGCGCTCGTTCCGCACACCGCGGATTGCTCGCTCGTCTCTTGGAGCTGAAGCCAGGCAAGCGATGCAGTTGACTTTGCATGCCGCTACTGGCATCATCTGCTGGAGCCTTCGATGTCCCTCAAGGACTTGCTTGGTGTGACTTCCACCTTGAAGCCGGTGATGATCACCGATGCGAAAGCCTTGTACGACTCCTTCCACCGCGAGGCCACGAGCTCTTCAGTGGTGGATAAACGGGTCAGCTTGGAGATCCGTGTGATGAAGGAGCGTTTGCTGGAGTTGGGTGGCACCTTGAAATGGATGTCCTCAGATCGGCAGGTTGCCGACGGGTTGACTATAAGGATTGTGCAAGATCCTTAATGGCCAGCAGCCTGCGACACCAGCGGCTCAAGCTAACGTGGGATCCTGAGTACAAGGCCATGAAGAAGGCGAAACCTGAAAGATTGTGGCTGAAACAATTTGCGGTTGTGAGAACATGGAAAAGCATGTCATGCATGATGGACCACCCCCTGAAGAACATGAAGTACATGAACACATGCATGAGCTTCCCCATGAGAACCCGAGAGTGGCATGTCTGAGTATGTCAACTTTGTTTCCAATGAGGCCGCTCTTGTGTATGTCATTGCCTCTAGCCATGTCGCTGGCCGCCGGCAGAATGTGAAGAAGAGTCGCATTTCGAATGCCATGGTTTGGGTACTATGGCTCTTGCTGCTGCAACATGTTCGAGCAGAGAACACTTGCTCGCCTACTGAGGATAACACCCCTGAGCCTGATTGGTTTTTGTACATGGTGGCAGGACTCATCTTTTTGGTCCTGCTGATGACTGACCAAAGCTGCCCCAGCGGCGAAGCCTGTGGTGGTTGCCAATGTAATGCCAAGACCCAGAAGGATGAAGCGATCGTACCTTCGCGTCTCCGCGAGCTTCTCAAGGCTGAGCAGGATCGGAGTGCTCAGTTCCGAGCAGCCGCCACGGAGGCCAAGAGGGGAATGGAGCTTGGGCTGGAAGAGCGCAATCAGCTCTACCACCTGCTGAGCGATGGCGCCCAGATCATGAGAAAGATGGTGTCCGTGATCGAAGACCACATGGAAGTTTGCCCCCATCGGGTACCTGTGATGGCATCACGCCAAGGTGAGTGCTGGCATTTCGACACATGCCATTGCGCTGAAGCTGTGGTCGAGAGGAATCGCCTGTGGCTCCGTCGCTGCGCTTACTGCGCCGACCCTCGAGGGCCGTTGGATAGGTTGAATTTTGAGTTGGGTGGATGCCTGAGAGATGAAATCCAGGCTTGGCTCGCAGACCACGATGGCCTGTGAAAGCCTCCACCGGTGTGAAGTGCACGCTGTGCACTGTGTTTGAAGCATGTTTTACCCGACTCCCACCGCAGCGTGGGCTCACGCTGCCAAAACCTGGCACGGGGCGTCGCGCGCTCGCGCGCGGTTTCTTTTCGTGGTGGGCGTTCGCTCTCGCTTCCGCGTTCGCCGTTCACCTTCGCACTTCGTGGACTTCGTGTACCACCTGTGTTTCCGCACACTATTAAATATACTGTAATTGACTAGCAGGATTGGCAGGAATGTTGGTGGCCTTGCAAACTCAGCTCGAAAGTCGAAAAACTGCTCACGCATCCGCAAATCAACCTCGAAGCGAAAGGCAATGTCTTCCGCTGCGCAATCATGATGTTAATTCAGGAAGGCTGCACAGGAGCCAGGAGCTCCTGAAAACTACAGACCTTCCCCCCCTCACACAAAGAGTCAATTCCATCCAATTCCTGTCTACAAATTCCTGCCATTTCCAGGCTCCATGCCCCCAAGGTCTTCCATTCGCCAGGCTACACTCCGCGACTACGTCGTGTCTTGCGCTTGGGATTCGCTCCACGTCCACGTCCACGTCCACGTTGCGTGTGCGGGCTTTGCTGTATCTGCTCTGGCCTAGTGGACTGAGCTCCATTTTGCCGCTGATCTATTTCCTGCCCACTTGACAAAGGCGGCTGAGTCTCAGTTGGTTCCGCGCCAAAAATCGGCTCACTCTGGGCTGCACGCAGCGCCGCCAACATCGGACGTCCTACCACTGCAATGTGAGTGCCTCGTACAGGGCGGGTCGACATGCCCTGACAAATCGGGGTCAGTCCACAAAGGAAACAAAACAAAGACATTTGGAACCGCAGTTGTATTGGCTGATGACCTGGTCCATCCTGCTGCAGCCTGGAAGGTGAAAATTCGAGAACTTCAGGGCCACCATGTGTCTAACAAGGACGAACCGCTCGTGCATAAGGCGGGTGCATAGGTCTTTTTGTGTTTGCAACAAGGGTGTTCCCGGATATAACTCCCAAGCCCCTGCCTAATTGAGACTCCTTGAATTCAATGAGCTTCTTGCTGCAGTGGTTATGAAGCAGCTGGTCTTCATTCTCCGCGGGTACGTAGAACCTTGGCCGTGCGATCAGGTTTTTGTCCAATGTGCTTTGACTTTTGCCAGGTGCAGTGAGAGACTTTGGTGCACAATCCCCTTGCAATAACTCAGCGCCTACGGCACGGAGAAATTGAAGACTCATGTAACATCATATATATATATATTATTGTTATATATATATACATAACCATCTTGGCGCAGCTATGGAACATGAGCCGATCTCCGGGGTAAAGAACCGTCTCGGTGGTCTCCGGCAACTCCCAAGAGCCACACAAGCCACGGCCACCATGCACCACTGCAACCGGACTGATGCTGAAGTTGATCCGCATGTTCCTGACAGACTGGCCGTCCCAGACCCAGAAACTCCCAAAACCACTTAAAATATATTAAGCAAGAATAAGGACATTGCTCATTGCTCCCCAGCATTCGAGCTGTTTATGACATGATATGGCATATAGATCACCTGGAAACAAAGTCATCGAATGTCATCGATATACACAGCCAAATGCAGCCCGGCTTCAGCGCCCTCAAGTGTGGAATGTTGCCCGTCTTCGTCAGATCTTGCAGCAAACTTTCAGCACACTCTTTGCTGCATATGGTGGCAGCCATTGGGTGTGTGTATGCAACAGGGTGAGCCGGCAGAAAATCACAGCTCAAGTCGCCGTCTTCGAGGTCAAATTCGTTCATGAACTTGCGAAGTCCCGAAGCAGAGTCTTGGACGTGAACAGCGCTGGCCGAATACACCTGGTAGACGTCACCCTGAGAGGTTTCACAGGGCGATGTCGGCTGTAATCTTGGTTCTGTGACCCCCAGGGATGACGCAAACACAACGTCGAACACCCCTGAGCACCCCCAAAATGATTGCTGTAACTCCGGGCCACATAAGCTTTCACCAACTGGGCGGTGGCGGTAGCTTCATAATATGCATCGATCTCTGCAGGGTTTGGAAGGACAGGAAGTATCCAGCAGTAATAGCCTGCGTGGGTTGACATGACAAGCATGAGCCACCGAAAACTAAGGCCCGATCCTGGCGAAGGAATATGTAATCCATAATTACGATGTTTTTCTGCATGGAGTCTGCGTTGTCAGTATGTAAGCAGCTGCCGGATGATCTCAGTGTTCATTTGCCCAAAGCACCTGCTTTGAGTTCATCATGAGCATCTGGATAAGGTAGATTGACCGGACGTGGTGTCCGACCCTTCTCCGCGTCGATGCCCTTAATGCGAGCGATCTTGATACCGAAACGGTTGGTGCAACGTAGCTCCTTGAGCACGCATCTGCCGTTCTTCAAAGCACTACACGTGGGCTTCACCTCGAACCTGAGAAAGGGCACCTCGACGGGTGTTGACATGTTGAGAAGCAGCAGGCACGTTGGAGGCTTGGCTTTGCTACAGTCTATGGTATGATGATCCATACTCCTTGAGAATCTAGCTGCAAAATGACTTTACATTTGACTTCTTCAAGTGTCTTTGTCCTTTGCAATCCCTATGCCTTTGAGCCGTGGCGGGCCATTCTTCACACACAATGACGCTGCATCAAAAACGACTAAATCTATGGCATGACACCTGCGGAACCCACATCCTGTACAAAGGAACTCCCAAAAAGTCATGAGACGCAAAAACGCAGCTGGCGTGGCCGCCGCGTTTAGGGCCACCAGCTTCACTCGACGCTTCACCCGCTCTCGGTCGATTGAGATGCCGGACGAGGTGAAGGAGATGAACAAAGCCAAGGCCTGGAGCTACGAAGCACCCGGGCCCCACGAGGCACCCGGGCCCATTGAGGCTCGACTTTGGCACAGGAATCATGTGGGCTTGGGCATCTCTGACAAGCAATGCTTTGGGACCTCTGAGTGATAGAGTGCATGCTCACAACAAGCCAAGGCATGGCAGTGGATAGGACGAAAGGGTTCAACCTGCGCATGGGCGTAAAGGGAGCTACTCCTTGTTTTTGTGGGCTCACCCTGCGCATGTGGCCACTGGTGAGCTCCGGGTGGATAGCTTTCCAAACACCATGAGCAATCAGCACAACAAACAATCAGCCAAATGTGAGTAGTTTTCAGCCAGGTGTCCTCCATCTTTAGCACCTTTGTTTTCTCTCCTGCTCTTCGCAACAAACGGCTCGGCTCATCCTGACCACTCCCCTACACGGGTGCTCTGTGACGCGCTGTGCAACTTCGCCACCTGTGGTCATCAGTCGCCCGGCCGGTCTCTCTGAGCCCCAGGACCAGGATAAGCCAGGCCATGTGTGGCTGCTCATAGTGCACACTAAAGCCAAATACCTCATGGTCCGCTCGCGCCATGTGGTCTGCCCATGCTGTTGGTGCTAACGTAGGCAATATCAAAAAAGAAAACGAGACAAACACACACGCTGCACAAAAAAAGAACAGCTCGAAAAAGAGTGATTAATATATATATAGTTTAAGTGGATACATAAAAGCATATATATATATAAAGAACTGAACGTGCTCACCAATGATGGCGACTGTTCACCTCGTGTCTCCCTCTGAAAAACCACCTGACTCGTCGATCCCCCTGTCACCCTGACCACCGGCGAACTCCGGCGAAACGTCTCGGGGCACTCCGGTGGTGAGCGCAAAGGCGAGACTGGGGACGAAAGCGTTCAGCAGGATGGCCACGGCGTTCAAGCGTTTCCTCCAGCCCCAAGTCCCGGACATCGTAAAAAGTATGTAAAAGTGCCCAAAGCGACAAACGATGAAGGACTAGGATCAGAAACAACCAGATCGAATGACAATGAATATGTATAAAAAGAATCAAAAGGTATTAAAAGGACTGATTTGCATAGGACTTCTAACGTCCATCGCTGCAGTTGGGTTGTGGAAGGTAGGTCCATGATAGCAATGACAGAGCTAGATTTAGGTTGTGAGAGGGTGCACTGGATTTGAGCTCACAAAAAGGCCAGGATATGTTTGAAAGTTGTTGGAAGGGTCAACGGTCCATCACCCAGCAAATCAAACCTTTCCTCCTGCCATCCGTCTATCGCGTAGAAATCCGTCTATCAAATGATCAAGATCACAGAAACCCAGCGAGTACAACAACCCACTAACCCACTGCTTCAGTGCATGCGAGAGAAAAGTTGTCCAATACATAGAATCGAACCCCAGCTGACCTAGGACAGCGACTTGATTGCTCAACACGATGTCGGAAAAATGTTCGGCGAACCCACAGCTTGCTGGGCATGTGTGAAGCAACCGTCCTCAGGAGTAAAATGATGAGTAACAGCGAAAAGGTTGCTGAAGCGTATCAGTTCACGTGATGTCCCAGTTTTGGCGTGTGGTACCATGTGGTACCTCCATGTCTGTACCTCCCTAAACGTGTGGAGAAAGAAATAAATTACACCACCGTAGACCCCAAGCAGGTGGGACAACAGCGAAGCATTCCCAAGTCCACTTTTTGAGACATCAACAAGAAGGGAGACAAGAAGGGAGACAAAAGGAAACAGAAGGGAGACAAGACGGGCACAATGGCCAACAAGAAGGGAGACAAGAAGGGAGACAAGGCGGACACAGTGACAAACAAGACGGACACAGTGACCAACAAGAAGGGAAACGAGAAGGGCGACAAAAGGAAAGAGAAGGGAGACAAATGAATAGAACAGCTACATGGCCAGCGGAAAAGGGCGGACACCACTAGTGACGGACCCAGCGGAAAAGGGCGGACACCACTGACAAACCTGGGGGACACATGAATAGAAATGTTGCATGACCAACGGAAAAGGGCGGACACCAGCAGCGACAGACCTGGGAGACAAACGCATAGAAATGCTGCGTGGCCAACGGGAAAGGGCGGACACCAGCAGCGACAGACCTGGGAGACAAATGAATAGAAACTCTCCATGGATAAGTCGGAATGTGCATAGTTAATGGAAGGGCGGACAGCAGCTACAGACCTGGAAGACAAATGAATAGAAATGCTACATGGCCAGCGGAAAAGAGCGGAGACCACCAGTGACACAATAGAAATGTTGCACCGCCAGCGGAAACGGAGGGACACCAGCAGTGACAGACCTGGGAGACAAATGAATAGACATGCTGCATGGCTGGCCAGCGGAAAAGCGGACACCAGCAGCGACAGATCTGAAAGACAAATGCATATATGTTACATGGCCAACGAACAGAAATGCTACATCGCCAGCGGAAATGGGCGGACACCACCAATGACAGACCTGGCAGACACATGAATAGAAATGCTGCGTGGCCAGCGGAAAAGGGCGGACACCACCAGTGACGGAAATGCTACATGGTAGCGCCACCAGTGACAGACAAATGCTGCATGGCCAACGGAAAAGGGCGGACACCAGCAGCGACAGACCAGGGAGACAAATGAATAGAAATGCTACATGGCCAGCGGAAAATGGCGGACACCACCAGTGACAGACCTGAGAGACAGTGACAAATGAACAGACATGCTACATGGCAAGCGGAAAAGGGCGGACACCAGCAGTGACAGACCTGGGGGACAAATGAAATGAATCAAATGCTACATGGCCAACGGAAAAGGGCGGACACCAGCAGGGACTACACGAATAGAAATGTTGCACCGCCAGCGGAAAAGGGCGGACACCAGCAGTGACATACCTGGGAGACACATGAACAGAAATTCTACATGGCCAAGGGAAAAGGGCGGACACCAGCAGCGACAGACCTGGGAGACAAATGAATAGAATGCTACAGCGCCAGACCACATGGCCAGCGGAAAAGGGCGGACACCACCAGTGACAGACCTGGGAGACAAATGAATAGAAATGTTGCATGGCAAAGGGCGGACACCAGCAGCGACAGACCTGGGAGACAAATGAATAGAGATTCTACATGGCCAGCGGAGGAGGGCGGACACCAGCAGTGACAAACCTGGGAGACAAATGAATAGAAGTGCTACATGGCCAGCGGAAAAGGGCGGACACCAGCAGTGACACAAAGGGCGGACACATCTTAAGAAAGAATTTAGAACCCCCAACAGTAAACTGTTTGGGGAAAAACTCACATCAAACCATGTGGTGGAAAACACTTTCGTGATTCTTCAGGTTTCAAGCTGGAAAATCCCTCTTCGAAAACCGATGAACACCGACACCCGAAGTGCCAGCACGGGGACCTCTTCCCAGGAATGAAGCTTTGTCCAGCGGCCCAATCACCTGCACCACTGACCGAAAACGCAGCAAATCCCCTCACTTCCCATCAGGCATCCCAAGAGAAAGAATGAACAACTGTGGTTTTGGGGTTGCTTCAGGTCTGAAGCAGGTTGGTCCATTTGAACCAGGGTAGCCCGAACCTAAACCTGCTTGTAGAACCAGCGAAGGGCGCTGAGTTGCAAAGGCGATGGACCTCGCTCTGAACATGCACTCCTCACATCTCTTCACCAAAAGTTGCACAGTTTCAGAGATGAAGCCAACAATCTCACAACTAGAAAACGGAAGTCTGGGCGTCCTCCAGAACAAACAAGCACACTGCGGGCATATTTAAAAAGCAACCGGAATGATGATCCATCTGTTGCTCCATGCGCGCTGCCTGGTCAAAACAACGAGGCCGCCGCACGGTGAATGGCGGACCGCATCAGACTGGGGCGGCCCCATCAGTGATTTCATATATATGTGCCCACCTGTGCCAGCGTCACAGTTTGCTATTAATATATGCCTCATCTTGCATCAAGTACAGCCTCACTCCAACTCACTGACACGGAAGTGAAAAAAGACCATGCAGTTCAAAGGAATGTTGTCCTCCTTTCGGGGCCATGCATGGCCATGCCATCCACTTCCATGTGATGGGTTCGTCAAAGCATATCCAACACGACCAGGCCGGCCTGCGAAGGTCTCATAGGACGCCATCCGCGAACGCCTCCAAGACGAAAGTCAAGTGAAGAATCCACACAAATCCTTCTGTCAGACCCTTGGAAGGTGTGGAGAGCTTTCAAACAAACCTAGCACCCGAAAGCTGGGCTAGCTGATTTGATGTTTTGTCTTGTGCAATCATCAGCTGTTTCTGGCCTTCGGCACTTCGTTGCTGCCCAAACGCGGGGCAGAAGGGGTGCGGTTTCGGTCCACCGCGGGGAGCCAAAGGGGCCAGGTTTGGCCCCCTGAGCCGGGTGGCGCGCATGGTGTCCGCAGCGATGTCACGAGATCTGTCAGTTCCAACTGACTGATGTTCAAGGAACCTTGGTTGGCCCGACCCAGACATGGGAAACTCATGTAGTGGACACGTCCCAACCCCCATATGTTATGGAGCATTTACTGATTTTCTGGTCCTATACATTTCTAGAAACGAAAACATACTAAAACCTAATGTTAAATTTTAAAATCTCTTATCAGCTTGTACAAGGTCTCTGGGGCAGGGTTCTTCCTGCTCTAGCTGCCATAAGATCAATAGGATCAGTTCACCTCGAGTGCGTTCAAGGTTGAGTGCATCCATCCTATAATGGTGTGTCTGGCTGCATTCTGTCGGACAACTATTTGAATCTAGTCACCTGGAAAGCACCAATTAATCTCTGAAGAGGAGAGACAGCACTGATGAAATATATTCCCAAACCAAACACATGCATTGTATATAAACGCCGTGAAACCATAGACCACTTGGACTTGGTTGCGCAAAACATGAAAAAAACATGGTTGCACCTACTCCTAATGGAACCTGGGAACTGAGACCACTCGATCCACCTGCCGCCAGAACTGTTTCCCTTGGCAGAACAAAAGTCCGGCGAACTGGTTCTTGCTGTCTTTTTTCGGCCACGAGACGTGACCTTCTCCCTTTTCAGTCCACCACCCTTGCACCGCCTGGGATTTCTTCCCATTCGGCTGCTGGACCTTCAAGGTCCAGCTCCCAGGGCCGTTTGACCGTGACCCCAATCCCCGAAACATCGACCGAGGTCAACCTTCCCTGCGTCCAAAATCCAACAGCTCAAGGACCAGACCAATCATCATCGTCCTGCGAAGAAGCACAGGGCGTGGTAAGACCATGTAAGACCAATGACTTTACTGTACACAACTTGGCCTTCGTGATGTGTGTGTCTGTATAGAGCCCACCTCCAGAAACATCTAGCAACCAAAGTCATGTCCATCCTTTTGACCATTGTGTGCCAGGTGAATTGCCCAGAAACTCCTTGTGATTCCTGATCTTTCCCGGTCTTTCTACCACCACACTGCCGAACCTCTCGTCCAAGCCACTCATGATGTTCCCAGATTCTCCAATCCCTGGAAATTGCCGACCAACTCCGACCCTAGAAGAGTTCCACCCTCAAAGCACTCTCATATGCCTTGCGTTTGCCCAAGAATGGGGCGCCTCACATTTGCAATGCTGGAATCTAGAGTGTGTATACGACTGAATATATACACACATAGATACACACATTGAAGCTGTTGCACAATCAATAGGCCTCCCCACATCAGACGTTCCGCACCTTGTGATCCCTTAAAGCCTCGGTGAAGGATGGCGCCGCCCAGGCCACTGGACCCGAGCCATTGCCCCAAGCCTTGGAAATCACCACTCACTACACATGTTGACCGCAGTTGCGTGTGTTTGTGTGTTTGGTGGCTTGAAACATCTTATGACAATGATTGCTTAATATATATATATATATATACGACCCGACGTGGTAACTTATCACTACTTATCCCATCGCACAGGAACTTGACCCACCCCCATGGCACACCGCTTACCCCACGAATGTAAAACTTACCCCGTTTGAAAAGCACAAATCACACCGCTTCGGGAACAAAAGTGCTGTTTCTGCTACAGGTTGTTTCTAAAACGACTACACCATTCCATTGCGATTCTGTCTTCTAAATGTGGATGGGCTCCACCCCCATGGCACACCGATTCTGACCCACCTGTGAGTTCCTACCTCGGGGGTAAAGACCGAGACGCGAAAGTCCTTGCAAAGCAGTTGCGGCAAGCAAATCACACTGTGACACCACGCCACGACTAAGTCACGGCAAAGTCCTTGCGGCACTTGCATGGGACACCGCGTTTCACCAAATAGGCCGCCTAAGCCATGCTTTCCAAGCCCAGCTTACAATGGGACGCTGCCATAATGATGGGTTTGTGCAACAACAGCCGGCAGCAAATGAGTTGGGAGCCCTAGCGCGGGCAGCGGCAGCGGCAGCAGCAAGCAGCAGCAGCCAACCAGCAGCAAAACAACACCAGCAACCAAGCAGCGGCAAAGGGTAACCAGCAGCATCCCACCAGCAGCAAACAAACAGCAGCAGCAAACCGGAAGCAGCAAGCTGGCAGCAGCAAACCCGCAGCAGCAAACCAGCAGCAGCCAACCAGCATCAGCAAACTGTGGCATGGTCCCGCACCATGGAACCTCTCTAGACCCATACGAGCCCAGTACAAGACCAGGCTTATACATCCAGGGGAAGAAGATGGCAACTCACGCGAAGAAGAAGAAGAAGAAGAAGAAGAAGAAGAACAAGAACAAGAACAAGAACAAGCAGCAAGGGCAGCAGCAACAGCAGTGTAGCAGCAGTGTAGCAGCAGTGTAGCAGCAGCGTCCACCACACACCAAAGCAATAGCCAAGCAGCCACTTGCTCTCACTCTTGGCCCAATACACTCCACGCAGCTGCTCCCTAAATTTGTAAACAAATGCACGAGGCAAATGAGCCCTGTCCCGTTTCTGTCCCAACATTGGTTGGGAAGTGCAACTTGGGGCTAGTTGCATTCCAAGCAACAGTGACCAGTGTCAAGAAAAAACAAATACACAGTATGAACCACCAAACAACAAACGCCTACACTCCTAGACACAAAACTGCTTGGGGACACCGTTTCGCAACGACAATTTGCGATTGAAAAACCCGGTGTAGTAGTGAAGCTAAACACATGAACTCGTAACGACTTTAGCACTTGGGAGTAAAATAACTCGAGACAGAATAAATAGTATTGCGCACGCGGTTAGGTCGAATTCTCAACCTATGATAAACAACATACATGCAGAAAGGTAGCCCAATCAAGCTTTCCCCAACGGCACACCACATCGAGACCACAAGTTCTTAGCCACTCGAGACTCGAGACCAAGATACTGCCTGAGCACACTTCAGGCAGTACATCAAGTCAATTGGCAATCGATAGTAATCACGATCTTGAGTTCTTTGAGTCTTGTTGGATGAGGCCTCCCTCATAGATCATCCCCTTTACCTCTCTTTTCCACCACCCCCTCGTGCTCCCTATGCTCCGCCCGCAAAAAGAAACACCTCTTCTCCATCCAATACCCCTCAGCCAGGCCTGTCGCATTGACTCCGCCTGCTGCTGCACAGCCAGACGGGCGTGCAACTCCGCCAAGGTGGCCGCTTGCTGTGCCATCTCTTCGGCATGCTGATGAGCCATCTGCCTAGGAGTCTGGCGGTCGTCTCCCCAACCTGGGAGCCATCCTTTTCAGAGAAATTTGAGGATCAGAACGGTGGTCACAGCTGGTTGCATTAACACCTCGCTCAAACATGGGCCATTGGGCTCTATCACCCCGGGCAAAGGGTAACCATATTTATCTGAAACAAGCAACCAGTTCTGCTCCTGACGCTTCATCTTCCCATAGGATTGCACCGTTGAAGTCGCTAGCACAACTCCACTGAGTTTGAAGAACTGGTTCCAACGTAGTCTCTCTCTTTTTCATCCACTCCTCCGCCTGCCACACCACCAGCCCAGCCCCAAATAACTCACCAGTCCGACCTGTCTCCTTCCAAGAGGCTCACTCTGGTTGGCCACGAGCTGTACCTGCACCCCATGCTTCCAACTTTAAGACCAACCTTTCCGGACCGAACTTCGCCTTCGTTATGTTTGATGTGTGTCCAAAATCCAACAGCTCAAGGACCAGACCAATCATCATCGTCCTGCGAAGAAGCACAGGGCGTGGTAAGACCATGTAAGACCAATTGACTTTACTGGACACAACTTGGCAACCGTGATGTGTGTGTCTGTATAGAGCCCACCTCCAGAAACATCTAGCAAACCAAAGTCATCAAAAGTCCATCCTTTTGACCATTGTGTGCCAGGTGACCTTTGTACCTCGCCCATGTAGCGAATTGCCCAGAACCTCTCGTCCAAACCACTCATGATGTTCCCAGACTCTCCAATCCCTGGAAATTGCCGACCAACTCCGACCCTAGAAGAGTTCCACCCTCAAAGCACTCTCATATGCCTTGCGTGTGCCCCAAAATGGGGCACCTCACATTTGCAATGCTGGAATCTAGAGTGTGTATATGACTGAATATATACACACATAAATACACATATTGAAACTGTTGCACAATCAAAAGGCCTCCCCACATCAGACGTTCCGCACCTTGTGATCCCTTAAAGCCTCGGTGAAGGATGGCGCTGCCCAGGCCACTGGACCCGAGCCATTGCCCCAAGCCTTGGAAATCACCATGAGGACGCGAATGTGGTGGACGTGTGTGCCAGGCCTTTTGGAAGGTTCTGGTCACTCGAAGTAGCTTCACTTACACTTTCACGCACTACTCATGATCACGGCAAATGTGTATGTGGTGTCTTAACAATGCCTAGGGCCTAACATATATATATATATACATGCATATACTAAAGGATATTGCAACATGTCCACACTTCAGGCAGTACATCAAGTCAATTAGCAATCGATAGTAATCACTTCTTGAGTTCTTTGAATCTTGTTGGATGATCCCCTTTACCTCCATTTTCCACCACCCCCTCGTGCTCCCTATGCTCCGCCCGCAAAAAGAAACACCTCTTCTCCATCCAATACCCCTCAGCCAGGCCTGTCGCATTGACTCCGCCTGCTGCTGCACAGCCAGACGGGCGTGCAACTCCGCCAAGGTGGCCGCTTGCTGTGCCATCTCTTCGGCATGCTGATGAGCCATCTGCCTAGGAGTCTGGCGGTCGTCTCCCCCACCTGGGAGCCATCCGTTTCAGAGAAAGTTGAGGATCAAATCTGGTCGTTTTAGCACCTCATTCGAAACATGGGCCATTGGGCTCTATCACCCAGGCACAAAGACTCAGTCCGACCTGTCTCCTTCCAAGAGGCTCACTCTGGTTGGCCACGAGCTGTGCCTGCTCCCGTGCTTCCAACTTCATGCGCCGCTCGGCCGTCAAGGCCTCTAAAGCATCTGCCTCCATCTGCTCAGCGCGATGCTTCGACTGCCTGAGGGCGGATCGTTCTCAGCGACAAGGCTCTCTCTCTCTCTCTCTCTTGACGGTGCTGGCCTGCTGGGAAGGTTCGGGGGTGTCTTCAAAGGCTAAAGCCTCCAAACTGAAAGAGCTTCCAGTGCAACCCAGTCACAGGAGCTGTTGCTGAAGATCGTCCACCTGTAGCCAGGCTTGGTCATAGTCTCTTTGGAGAGGGTGTGTGGGCATTGATAGTCGCTGGCACATGGCTAGAAACCTCTGTGCAAGGTGCGGTGACTCAGTCCTTCAGTGTCACCAACATTCACCAACTACATAACAAGCAAGTAGGCTACAAACAAGTTGCAAAAGCACTAGATCTCACGTCAAGTAGGAAGCAACACATCAACCATTGGGAATTAGGATGATCCCTCAACAAACGCTTCTCCGCACCCACCCGCACCTCAGCCTGCTGCTCGGCCAGCAGTTCCTTCTGGCGCGCAGCCAGCTGTGCCTGGCCCTGAGGCAGCAAAACCAGTATGGCACAGAGTGCACTCTGGCGGCCGGCTGGTCATATCAAAACCCAAAGCACATCCCGAACACACCCTGGGACTGGAATGCCGCCCTTTGATCCCTCAAGCCACCACCCCACCCCACATTAGGTAAGGATTCCATGGAATGCCTGCACATAATTCACATGAAACCATGATATGAAACCCATAAGAACTGGTAGTCCACTCAGCTGAGGGGGGTGAACCATGGTCTTGACCAAGGGCCAAACCCTGTGCCTCACTGGTGCCGAGTGCTTAGGGACCTCCCACAATTGCTCCAAGCCTTTACTCTCTAGATGGTGACCATGGGTTGGAAACCCCCCATCCCTTGGCCAAGCAGTGAATCTCATGCCGCTTCACCCATGTCGGCATCTGAGGATGGGAGATGTACATATACAAGATAGATAGATAAATAGATAGATAGATTGATTGATTAGATTAGATTAGATTCGATTGGATTGAATTGGATTGGGTTGGATTGGATTGGTTTAGATTAGATTAGGTTAGGTTAGATTAGGTTGATAGATTGATAATGATAAATAAATCCGCCGACCCTCTGCCACGTGCAGAGGCGAGGCCTGTCTTGTGGAAAGTTGCTTGTAAAGATAGCTTGTAAAGATTTTGACCTTGTCCTTAGAATGTTCCTTGGCGTGGATTTTTCGTTTCACTGACTTCACCCCCCCTCCCCCGCTCCTCTTATTGTTGTTCTTCTTCTTCTTCTTGTGTTGGTTGTTGTTGTTATGTTTATATCTAACCACGGCATTGTTCTTACAATCCAAACGCTTGGTGGGGCGGCGGACCCGGCCGAAGGCCATTAAATAGATATGGATATATAGATATTAAGCAAGGTCTGGGGCATCCCAATGCACATCACTGGGACGCGGGCCAACAAAACACACAACCTTCACAAAGCCTGGCCCTCTGAGCTACGTCCCCGGTCACGTGCGCACCTCCAGCTGCTCGTTGCGGCGGTTGGCCTCCGACAACTTCCGCTCGAGCTCCCGAATCTCCTCCAAGCACGGGACTCAGCACTCGGGACTCAGGTGGGGGGGTTGGGGCGAGACTCAGGGGAGTGTAATGGAGTGATATGTCTGGGGAAGAATCCAAGAACTGGACCATGGAATGTTGGTATGGGAGCGGCGGCCATGTAGACTCTGTAGACCTTGATGCGATGCCCTTGCCCTTGCCCAAGTAAGCGTGTCACATGAAGCCTACGGTGCTCGTACTTGTGCTCACCAAATCTCAGCTGAGATTCTTGCTGGACTGTGTGGTTCACCAGCATCAAGTACCCAAAAGCAAACATAAACCGGTCCAAATATGATGGAAACACATGGAAACATCACTTGGACGTTTTACAGTTGTGTCACTGGTCACTGGTCACAGCATTGCAATTCAGGTGGTCCCCATGTTAAAACTATGAACAAGACTCGGCGATCATCTATGCAGTGCACAAAAAGTCACCACTTTAACCTTTTTGAGGCAGATCTCGCATGATCTCGCTGCATGGCCCATCATCGCCTGATCCTTAGCTCGGCTTCGTTCACTGGAGGTGAAGGTCCGCGCCTGGGCGGCGGTCGCGCCGGTCTTCGATGCGGACAAGGGGGGTGACCCGTTGCCCTGAAAGAGGATCGGGTGCGTCCTGTTGGAGTTTGCCCGGCAGCTAGCAGCTGGGATCTATAGGGAACATAAGTTGCTGAACACATATCAAACACGCATGTTTCCTTCAAAGCTGTGGTATTATGGTACAGTAAGGAACTGATGCCTTGACAGGAGTGGATGAACGGTTAAACTGCTCAACTTGCAATCCTTGAATTGAAAAGGCCCAAAGGATTTGCAAGCATTTGGAGGTCTTCTCCCAAGCTGAGCCACTATAGCCACTAAGCAAGCAGCAACCATAATCCAGGCATCACAACCAACCAACTAACCAACCACTGTTGGGTCTCCCTTTGACTCAGTTCATTTGAGTGTCGTCACCACACACCTGAGAAGGCTCGCTTTTTCCTTTGATCGCTCCTGTCCTACCAGCGGCCAGCTCGCTGGACTGGAATGTCCGCGCAGGCGTCGACAACAGCGCAAGATTCGTCCTAAGCATCGTCCAACACATTCGGCAAACATCTCCTGTCTGGCAGATAAGGCCTCAGATGCCTCAAACTGCTCATTCTCGTCCTCTTGGCCTCATGAAGAAGATGCAAACTTTGCAGAAAGCCCGAGGTGACTGGAAAGCCCAGTTCTTTTCGCTCCAGTACGGAACAAAATCGATCACAAACACACCGGCCAAGAAGCTGAGCTGGGTAATACCTGAACGATCATCATGTGATGCCCCAAAAAAACTTCCAGGGATTCCCGAGGCCCCTCCGAACCCCTGCGACGAACCACCACAGCCCAATAGGGGAGCAACCTTTCGACCCTATGACCTGCGATGAGGAGCAAATCGGACCAGGACAGTTCTCCCAAAAAGTGTTGAAGCAAAACTCCCACCTACACCTGGGAAGAGGCCCACATGAAACATCATAGAACCTGATGGCATGGACCTTGCCAAGACGAGGATATCCTATAACCCGGTCTTCAGGTTCCACCAGGGCGTATTTCATCAACTTCCGCGGAGTTGCTCCTTTTGCAAAGGGCAAACTGAAAGCACCTACAGTACTCTCCCGCATAGCGGCTCCGACCGGCCTGGCGTCTCTTCAGCTTGGGGCCCAGCCCGCTCTTTTCTCAAGAGCTCCTCGCAAGGCGCGAGGGCGCACTGCTCACAGAAGCTAGCATCTAACCCGCAGGTGAGGCATCCTCCAATAGCTGCAAATTGATTGGGAGCCCCAACATTGTGAAGCTGGAGTGAGTGTATGCTACAGTATCACCGAATATATATATATATTTACAGTATTTCATTTTATTTCGAGGTCTGCCAAGCCAACCGACCAACATCACCAAACATCTTTTCGGTCTCCCGGTCCTTGCAATTTTCCAGGCACTGCCGAATCTCCAGGCTCTTGGGCATCAACTGCGCTGCTTCCCGCAAGTCCTGAGGGCTCACTGGGGGTTGCTTTGTCCATTTTTGTCCGCTATGCAGGGACCCGCGAGCCGCGGAATCGATGCCCCGATGCCCAGCTTCTTCCAAGGTGTCAGGTACACATTCCGAAGCAAGACGATCAAATTGCAGCCTTCGTCGTCAGAATGTGTATACACATGGATATATGTGTATACTATCTACCCTACAAATCCAAGTAGCTTCTCAGAAGGTACCATAGCGGTGCGTCCAATCACCTGCTGAGAAGGCACTGGGATCCCTAGGGTATATATATGTATACATATATATATATATCCATATATATATATCTCCTACCCTGGGGTGGTAGACATCAATTCAGGGTGTAATGGTGCATACATTCCATTGACTTCATCCTTCCAAAAGCCGCGTTCGTCGGGTCCGAGGCTCCTCCAGCGCGCTCTCCAGGTCCCTCTCAGGGCCCGCCTCGCCACGCGCCAGCGCGCGGCGAAAGCGCAGCTTGGCCTTGAAGGTGGTCTTCTCCTCCTCTGGGAGCTTGTTCACCTATGGTACGGGATGGTCACAACACAAAGGGAGGACAATGAAACATGGATGGCTTTATCAGGTATTTCGGCATGTATTTGTTGGTTTTCAGCTGTCATAGTTATCCTTTTAAGCTTTGCCTGCGTAGATGGTCAAACAAAGCTTGTGCAACAATGGGCATGTCCTTTACAAGCCAATGCCTTGGGATTCTAAGTTTATTTGCTTGTGCTGATTCTCTTCGCTGCTAATTGACTTCCCCTTCTCTTTGAAAGAGGCCTCTGTAGTGTACTGTTGAGTCTGTCCATGTTGGGATCCTTTTGTGGGGGGTGCTTCTATCATATCAGCTTGCGCTGGGCAGGTTGTTTCCACATCCAGCAACCAAAGCACGTGGCGCATCCCCAAGGAGGCAGCTTTCACCGCATTGCTGAAGTCGCCACGCTTCCTGACCAAAGTGAACAGTGGAAAATACTTGAAGTAGCCTGACCCTGTATGGTATCTGCAAAGCTCATGTGAAGGCTGTTGATACAAACGTCCATGCATCGCATCCATTCTATAATCTAGTCCGCGCTTGTTTGCGCCAAGCTTCAGAAAAACTTGGGTCAAATTGCTCAAGATTGGCAGCAACAGCTGAGCGAGAGCAAGCCGCTGTGGCTCGTCCATGCTGAGCTGCTGCTGTGGGGTAAAATCGATCGAATGGATCGCGCCCAGGTTGCAATGAAGAGCACGGCGATAGTCATCTCTACCATACCACCTCGATTCAAATAAATGCCAAAGAATCCAATCCAGCACATTCCTGCAACCCAAAAATAATCCAAATTCTTTAGAAAAAGGATCAGTATGTATCAGTGTATCAGTATGTTCCGGAAAGGGGACGCGGACAGTTATTTTTCCTCAAGCCCATATCTGAAAACATCCCAAGCCTGTCAGAGATTCAAGTGTCGCGTCATGTGCCCATGTCCGTCTCGGCCTAGGCGCTCGTTGCCCAGTTGCTTCAACCGCTGTCCATGCTTCATCCGCGACTCCAAGTCGGTGGGCCTCGTGAGTCCTCAAGAGAATCGAATCACCAAGCGTCGCGAACGCGTGTGCGAGGACGCTAGAAGCATCAAATGAAAATGCAACAGGTTTAAATGGCTCCATGTGGCTCAATGTGCTTTTTCTTTTGTATACCCACTGGCAATGTCTTTTAATCTGCGCAGCTCTTGCGAGTGGCTTGAAAGGATCTCAGCCCCCAGCCCATCAGGGTTCCTTGAAAGGCTGCCCAGATCTTTGGATACTGCTGGATCAACGGTAGCAGGTCCCAACTCATCCATTCTCCAATTAAAAGGACTCCCCAAAGTCAGGCCTCTCAACTATTTGGGGGGAACACTGGTTGGCTCTTCGGTCGTCCAGGCTGAACTCCTAGCGCCATTCTGTGGCTTTTTGTTGCTTCATTCGTATTGTTTTGTGGTTCTTTTTTTGGGGGTATGCAAATGTAAATGCATACGTATTTATACATTAATTATGTATGTATATGTATGTGTTTGTTTCATCCATTCTCTTTCTCTCTCTCTCTCTCTCTCTCTCTCTTGCGCCCCCATCCAAAAGCGACAGCCGCTCTCCTTCCTCCCGCAACCACAGCAGCAGTTGCCGCCGTTCAGACTCCACTTCACAGAAATGCCTGGCGTTTGCGGCAGAATCGCGGCCTGGTTGGCCTCTCAAGTCCTTCTCTGCTTGAGTATGTATGGGCACAATGGGTGTGCATCCCGCATCCCATGGTCTACTGATGTCTACTGTTCCTTTGTCTACGATGGTTGGAATAGTGAGTGCTAGGCTGAATAGTGGCCACGATGTGAGTAGAAGACCCGATGGGCAGTAGTGTCCAAAACTCCTTCCATGTGAACCTTCGCCACAGGAACCTCCTCGCCATCTCCTCCCTGGTGTGAGAACAGGACATGGCGTTCAATCATAACTGTTTTGCCACACCTCTTTGGACCTCAGAAGCGGTGATCGTGAGGGAACCCACTGTTTTCCCTCAAACGTTCCTTAGTCTAGTTGAAATCCCTCATTCAAGTTGCGCCACCCACTCGCGCCTCAGCCAATGTTCCATGAGCATTTCCCGTTGCTTCCGCTCCTCTTTTCGTTGCGCCTCCCAACTGGCCGCCATGGCTATTTAAGTTCTCGCCTGTCTTGATCAAAAGTCTGAGCTTTCAGGGGCTTCATTCCAGTTGATTGAGCATATTGAGCAGCCTGCATGTTGGCGTTCTACAATCTCCCAGGAGATGACGCGGTGATTTGCCGCTGCTTTTAACTTAACTTGACTTATTGTTGCGGAAGGCAAAAGCCAATCCACCTAGGTTTGCTGTAGATGGGCCGCTCTTGACACGACATGACACCACTGATGGCCGCTGTGCATTTGGCTGCTCAAATGGTCTCATGAACATATCTTGACGTGCTTCAAGCGCCAAGGAGGCCAAGGAGGCAAATGCCCAAAAAGCTTGTAGATTGCATCATTGATTCATGGTGCCCAGCGGAAAAAGTCATCGGTTGACCACTGAAGCGCTACTAAGTAGTGCACAGGTGAGCATATATTATATCTTAAAGCCAAAGCTGGTGATGGTTTCCCTTATTTTGATTGGGTGGTTGGTGACATCTAGAATCTAGCCCGAGGCACTTCAGTCAGAGTCTATACTTAGGGTCAACCATGGTCAAGCCCAGGGCTTGAGTACAGAACCTTGTCATCCTCCAATCTGAAGCTCTCCGTCCACAAGGATCATAGTTTCTCACGTTTCCCATGATGGCAAGGTTCCACACGGGGATAGGAACTCATGGCTTCCAATACACGGAGAAACGGCGATTCATCCTTCTATGTTGCTATGCGGAGTTGCCAAGTGAGGGGACCAGAAGCGTATGTAGAATGTAGACCCTTCATTCTAGTAACGATAAAAAACAATTTCACCACTGCATACATAACTTGACCAAAAGGGTTCTTGGTGGTTGTGTACATCTGCTTGCTCAACATCTTCTCCCATCTCATTTGGCCCAAGCCACACTGGCACCCAAAGGCATAACGACGGGCTCCTGCAATGGTCAGGCCAAGCAAACGAACATGTACAGTAGCTGCCGGAGTGGGAGTGTATCTACCTGCACCTCTGACCCCTCGCTCAGAAACTCGCGCTATTTGCGCTCTTTCTTGAGAAATGACAGGGTCATTTTTCGAGGGTCTTTGTCACCAGCAGCTTGAAAGACCCAACCACCAACATATATATATATGTATATGTATAGAGCATGCTTGATCTACAGACCTTGTGACCTGCCGGCTGTGGCAACTAATAGCACTCTCTGTGTTGGATGCTGGCTGTCAAAAATGGATGGTCGTCCGTCGCTGACGTGGCTGGGGTTGGTGTCGAACTTGAAGAATCTGGCTTCTTGGCTTGAAGTCATTCGTCTTACGAAAAAAGATTAAAAAAAAAAAAACAAGAGGGTCAGCTTGTAGTGAAGAACATCGCCCTTGAGAGTTGACTCACTTTGACTCTCAAATTGACTCACTTTGACTTGGCATTCCACTCATAGCGTGGAAAATGGTCACTATTTTAGGATCCGAGTCACCCCAAAGAAAGCAAGCCCCTCTTCCCAAGGTGGCTGATTCCAGGAAGGACACATGATGGCAAAAGCCTGCCTGTTGTTTTTGGTGGAAAGCTACCTCAAAAATTGCCAGTTGCACGAATCAACAAAGGCTTTGCCTCTCCCTCTCTCTCTCTCTCTCGTGGTCAAAATTGTCAAAGGATGTCAGGAAAAAGAAAAATGGGTCGACGCCGTCAAAGAACTCATAAGTAAAATCTTGAAGCGCTTCAGTCACCGACCGAAGCTACCTGCTTCTTAGGACATGTCATGTTGAGTCAGGTGACCACGGTGACCTCGTTGACCACGCCAGGTGACCACTGTGACCACCAATCCGTTGAGTCGAAATTGGTTGGACCTCGTTTTGGGACCGGACGAGTTGCGAAGGCACAAGAGTTGGCAATATGAGGTTCTTGCCAGCCTGGTGCTAGTCACAAAGGAGTTTCTACATCCAGCTGCTGCGTCAGGAGATCATCTGAAGGTACGGGCTTCCGACAGAAAACCCTTTGCCGCAAGCATTCAGCATTCAGCTCTCCAAACCGTCACAGTCGGGGGAAGGGAGTGAACGTTGCCCCAGGAGCAACCACGAATGTCCAAGCACGCAATGAGGTGTCCAAGTTTGGATGATCAGGAGTTTCCGTCAGCGAGAACGAGTTGACATGTTCATGGCAAACGCATACAAAAGCACTCTGTGTACAAATAAGACTGCAAGTCTGATAAGTAGTACGATTGAATCAAAAACATGGGATCATAATTAATTTATAATGACTCAAAAGCATCCAACTCAACAGGTTCTTCGATTTCTGCATTGCATGACCTAACCATTCCCCAGCACGTTCGGTCGACCAGGTTGTGCCCCAGCTGCTTCTCCCAACGGTCCCAACCCCAAAGCCATGATGGGTCGGAGCTCCCCCCCTTCTGAAGGAACCGGACGCAACTCATTCCCTTTCCGTACCCAAGCGCTCCATGGGACTGCCATATATGCCGATCAGTTGGGTTGGTGCCAGAGGGGCCAATGGGGCGGCAGTCCTATGGCAGTCCCATGCGTCGCGTCTGGGAAAAAACAATATATATATATATATATACACAACCTTCATAAACCCACTTGGCGCAGCTATGGAACAGTCCCATGGAGCGTCTGGGATATTCTGATCCTTTTGTGTTCGCCTCCGAAGGCCGAAGGAGCCACCGAAGCGCCCGCCTCCGTCCTCGGTACCTCCCAACCGCCCCACCTGGGAGAAGCCGCCGCCGTCGTGTCCGCTCCTCGGAGCCGGATGGACTGAGATGGTCCGGGACGGTGCGGGACGGTCTGAAGGGATCATGGAAGTGGATCAAGAACCTGGTATTCTGGTTTTGGCCGGAACCTGAATCATCATCCAAAAGGGCATGCCATCTATGCACAGCGCCTAAGGGTTGTCCCCAAGTCTCACTTGGCCCAATCGCACTTGGGTCTGGTCGCCAGTCCAAATCGAGTGTCTGGGGCTGTCGTTGGACGGCCAGGAGGACACCGTGTCGAGAACAATGAATCGATACAAAACACCAATGCACAAGCTTCAAGGACAATCCCAAATTGGTCATGTGGTCTAGCTTGACTGACCACCAACCGGCAGGGCTACCTACCAGTCAACCATCAAGCAAGACAGCAGCCAAGCACACATGTTCATCGCTGTTCATCCACACATGGGCCCACAAATCAAAAAATTACCCCACCACCCGATAGAATATGATAGAGCATTGTACATCATTGTGCAATATTGCACGTATTTGTACATTATCAGCATGTAATGTAGCACAACAGCCAGCCATGCTTTTTGAGGGCGACTGTATGTAGGTCGGACACTATCAAATCAGCTTACATTCAACACTGCATTGCCCTACTACTTTGAGCGCATGCATGTTTCATTATGTTTCGTTCTTGTTCTAAATGAGCCCCCCCAAAGCCACACGTGCAGTCACACGCATCTTTGACTCCGATGGCTCCTTTCGGCTTTGCGAGGACTGTGCATGTGCATCGGTCAGGCCGGCAGCCGTGAACATCCGTGAACCCAAGAAAAACGCCCACTCGTGCTCCCAGTCAAGTCAGTAGCCAAACATTGTCATCGTCAACATCGAGGTCCCGAAACATGGGACAGGTTGTATATTATATACAGTAGATACCTGGATCTTCCAACTGTGCATTTCTGCCTTTTCATCCATAAAGCCAGCTTAAAAGGCAGGAATTTGGTATAGTTGGAAGATCCAGGTATATCACTGTATAGTATGCATAGGGGTACCATGGGGTACTATAGACTCTTATATTGTACAGAAGCCCTTGTCTGCCCTGGTGTGTCATCTGTGTCTTCGTGACGATCGGGGATGGAATCTTGGAAGTGACGCAGCAGCCATCGCAAATCAACCAGCTCCGTTTTTGTTTACCTGAGCGTCACCCCATGGCCCATGATGAACACCTGCTTCGTCATGCGATCGTCTTGGGTAGGGTGCGACATATGGTGAGTTTGGCTCATGCAGTGGGAGCCAGGCCACATCCCAACTCTGGAAGCATCGAGAGGGGTGTCCACGCGGAAGAATCTTGGCCATCACACTCCTTGTCCCCATGCACATCCATGTTGTTTCTATCATGCTCAGCATCCTGCTTTTGCCAATGTCTGGTGGAATTGTGGATGATTTGCCTTGGGGTCCCCCAAAGAGAGAAGTTCATGGGCTACACAATCCTGTAGCCAAGGGATATGTTCTTTTCTGCCACAGGTCATCACAAGCCTCCCCTCAGCGACAAGTACAACTGGAGTTGGAAGTTATGCAATTGTATGGCTAAATGTTCTGCACATGTCTGCACCCCCTATATAGCTATGGCATGCTATGGCCGAATCTAAGCCCAAAACCGCATTCAATGCAAGTCAACCTAGCCAAGTGGGTTCTCCAACAGGTGTTTTCAGCCACCAGTGTCTCCCAAAAATTGCCCAATTGGAGACTCCAGCTGAGTGATTCATCCCCGAAAACGCTTCTGGAGCAACCTGAAACCGTTGGGACCCCACACCGTGCCCCTTCAGCGCCCACTGATGCTTCACCCAAACGGTTGGTTGCCGCGCCAGCTTAGCAGCTTGAGGTCGCCCATGGTCAGGCGCTTCAGCACTTCACCCGGTGCCGGTGCCGGTCCGGGGAACAAGGAGACCGGAGGTCACCGGAACGCGGTCCCGCTCCGCATGAGCGGAGGGGTGGAGCTGATGGAGAGCGACGACCGAGTTCGGTCGAGGTGGTCGGCACTGCAGCTGTAGCTGTAGCCCAGGTAGGCGAGTACCGCGATGTCGGGTGCGATCCGCTGTCCTTCAACTCCAAACATGTGGCTTCAGCATGCATTGAATTCAGCTGTGGATAACGTCTTGCCAGCCTGTCGGAATGACAATTCAGGGGGCAAGGCCCGAGGTCTTATCTTGAATAGTGAAGTCGTGAATCAATGCAAGCTTGTTTGAGGTGTGCGTTTGGCGGCCCTTGTGGTGTGCAAAGTTGAGGAGCCAATGTCCCAACCCCTTCTCAGTCGAAACGTCCTTCAGCGGAATGGCTACTACACAGCCAAGTCCCTTGTCCAACCGTGACCGGAGAATACACAAAAGACTTAGCCAAACAACTTACGAGGGACAAACTGCGAATTTGGGAGCCAATACTCTGGAATCTCAAACCTAACCTATAGAGCTCAAAATTCAGCATTTGGAAATATGTAGAACATTGTAGAACACTAACATCCTTCTAGGAAGGTTGCGAAGACCTGCTGGTGCTAGCTGGTGATTCCTTGGAGGCCACATGAGGCCAACCTGCCATGTCATGGTCTCGGTCCACTCCGCAGGCCGACAGCTAAGAGTCTATAGACACTCACCCAACCAGCGTGTGAGTGACTTAGTGGTACAACGTCAGAGCTCCACGGCACCTTAGAAGTCAGATCGCAAGGCAACAAAAACTGCCCCATTTGGATAGGGGATAGCATCATGGCTTTTGCCAAAGCAGCGGGAGAGGTCGCAACACTTGAGACCGCTTTCCATGCCGAAATGCTACAGGCCAACTATCATGGATTCGGGTGACCTGGCTCACCCAAGATCAATTTCAATCCAGCTAAAATTTTAAAAATAGTCAGGGTCCAGTCTATAGTTCTGTGGAGTTTAGATCACCCGTACCATCAACCGTGTATAGCTACCTCAACACCCCCAGCAAAAATAACGTCTCCCTTGGGTTTCTTCACCTTCCACCACACAATGGCCTACCGCCGAGAATGCGCCGAGGTCGCTACTGGGAATAGTGGAACATCGCCATGATGGTTGATCAGTGGCCTCAGTACGCTTCCAGTGGGATGAACTCTTCACGCAAAGCGTTCTTTTTGGCCCAATCCCTTACCATCATCGATCACGTCCATCACACGCCATCCCTAATAGCTGGGCCACTCTCCCTGGTGTGCATCTGTAGTAAGTGAGGTCCATTGGAACCCAAGGTCCTGCCACAAAGGGCCTCACCCCCTTGGGATGTCGAAGGTGATGCTGGCCCATACCTACCATACCATACCTTCTACCAGCACCACCCAGTGGATGCAGCTGACCAACGCAAGTGGATAGTGCATCAGAGTACTCTTGATGGAGCACAGAATTTGCACTGCTCCGGGCCCCTTCAGAAACAACAAAAAACACCAACCCCAATATACCCCAATGACATCCACTGCCCCACGGCATTGGATCTTCCAAACGGCCGAACGTCGACCTTTTTTCCGAGGGCAGCGACCCTCGCCGCTCGCGACCCTCGCGACGCTCGCGTTCCGTTCCCGGGGCGCTCGCCTTTCGTCGTGTCAGGGAACGACCCACGCGATACCTCATGGTCCACGCGTGGACGGGGACCCGGAGGTTCCGGCGGTTCCGGCGCGGTGGAAGGGGAGACCGTGTGGAGCAAGAGCATCGGCGTTTTTGGGGGACGGGGGCAGGTGTTGGTTGAATACTTTATGAGGCTCTCGAGGTTGAATCACTGGTTCCCATGCCCTTCCTATCTGAGAAACGGCCGATAGCTACAGTAAGCTCAAATAGATCCATGGTGGAGAAAGACGAGGTCACACGGAAAAACAAATAAAGATTCTGACAAGGGCTGGAACATGATCAGAGCAAGAAGTCACTGGAAGTCACACACACACACAAAAAAAAACAAAGGTTGAGATGAGTTGCCATGTGTTTGCTCGTCCTCGTTCCCTTAGAGAAAGGCATGTTCGTCTCCTCGTTTTGCTCGTCAGTGATAGATGGCTGACCATCTCAGGGTCTGTAGTGGCCACAAAACCGTTTTGCCATAAAGGACATCCCCAAGAATGAGATTCTACCATTCGAATCATGAAACGTGGTCCATTTTTCATGTGTTGTATCATTTGGGCATCCTTCCATGATTTCCTATGTATGCGCACATTGCACGATTCTTTCCTCCTGAGCATCATGACAGTACCTGGCTTCCTTGATCTAGCATATTGACAAGGTTTAAATTAAAGCCAATCTGTGAATACATGTGAATACCAGTGACAGGAATAGGTAAAGATTCAAATCGTCTGTTGATGATCCAAGAGGCAACGCCTCCAGCGCGCGGGTGGATCGTGCCTGGAGGGAGGACACCCTGACCTTGAGTGATGGGAAGCTCACCAACACATCCAACACCATACCTTTAGAAAGCCTTTCAGGTCTTACTTGAACACCTCTGCGCTACGCCCACTTCTTAAATGAGCCCCCCCTCTTTATGCATTATTAGGGAAGTCGTATTGTGCTTTGACATCCGTGTCCTTAGCTTTTCAGCCGCAGCGCAAATAGCTTTCCAGCAGCAAAAGAGTGATGAGACCGACTGAGTGGCGAGTAAAAACAAACACAAACAGGCCGACTGTTACTCAGTCGACATGTTTCGTTGAAGAAATTGAAACTTCACTGAAAACTCTCCTTGAAATGGGAACTTCATGCCCTGAAAACCTCCTGCAAACTCTTCTCATTCTTGAGCAAAAAGGCATATCTCCCACACAATGTGAGAACATGGTTTGAGGATGCTTGGGCCATAACCTATGGCGACAACGTAAAATTCAACGTTACTTGAGGGTTTTCCTGTCACGACTCACAAGTACATACCTTGCACTTGATATAAATCCACCTGTCTAACCAGATCGACCTGCACATGGGCAGGACGACCGCCGGCCTCCGGCGCCGTGGCTGCTTGTAGCTCGGTCAGCGCGGACACCGCTGCAGCCTGAGCCGGAGCACTCATGACCCCCAAATAGATAGAAAAGCAAATCCCCACTCAACATGTATTGGAATCCGTTTCTATCTATTGGGGGATCACTATAGTCACTATACTATACTCATGACCCTGATGCTTTTGGGGACGACATGGGGTATAAGCGAGGGGAAAGGAACAAACCCAATCGCCATAGGACCACTTTGCATGGACAAATGATCCAAAGGGCACTCGTGACAAGGAAGTGACACCCTTCCAGAAACACACACAAATAATCCATAACAATGCTTTCTTTGCAAACGAACATCTCGATGACGAGCATTCCGTCCATATTCTGGTCTATGTTCTCTATCGATCGTCCTCACCCATTTCACGGTCCAAGCCACGGCAGCGGCCCGTGAAGTCGCCACACGCGCCGCGGCCTGGCCCGAGTGGCACCGGTGCCACCGACAGCGAGTGGTTTGTAGGGCTGGCCATGTGGGCTTTGTAGTGCTGGCTTTTCACTATGGAATGGTGTTTCATGATGCGAACGATGTCTCATCTGAACTTTTTGAATGACAGGAAGTGGAGCCCCGCGCAAGCCCGGGCTCGTGCCATTGGCAGTGGGGTCGGCCCCCTATGTCCGGACCAACCCCGAGAATGCATGCATTAGTCATCAGATTGGCACTAGTCGTCAAACGGTCACTAGTCGTCATAGGATATTGATGGGTGAATGAATCATGGCAAACATCCTGCACTCAAGGTGGGCATGAATCTCAATCATAACCCAAACGCTCCATGTATGGTATATATGCCTACATTGGGTTGGTTTGAGGGGTCAATGTAGGCATATATTATATGGCATACATGGAGCGTCTGGGTAACAAATGAAATCTTCTTCCACATGCGTCCCAGTATTTCCCTGTGCCATCTCCCCTTCGGCCCAGTGTCACATCAGCCCGCGTCGCGTGCACGCGTGCATCGCGCGGCGAAGCGACTCTTTTTGCCTACACCGACTCTTGATCTATGCATAGCGCGGGGACGCTTTCTGCGTTCATGATACGCAGCTCGCAGGGTCGAAAAAACATCGATTGGAGGCTGGAAACCTACTCAGGGCGCCACAATTGGACACAAAACATGCAAGGTGGATCAATGTGCTACGAAACAAACCCACAGGATGAATGGAACCCAACCTAGCCTTGTGGTGACCCTGTCCATTGATGCAAAAGCAACTCAACTCTGTGGGCAGGGCACATCCAATCAATGAGTCGACCAGCGAGATGATTCATCAAGGCACCTTTTGCCCTTGAGTTCAACTTGAGGACTTTGGGCGGCCAAAACGAGAGCTCCGGAAGTCAAGTGACATTGTTCAAATTGCTGTTGAGAGTTGAGAGCCTTGAGAGCATTGGAAATAGGAGATGAGGAATAGTTTGCAATTAGATATGCCCTAGCCTTCTCAGACCTTTAAAAGCAAGGTTGACCTGTTGTTGCACAACAAAGCACAACAATGGTCGCTCAATACCATTAATCAATGGTTGTTGGAAGCCTAGGGCATCTACACATGAAATATTAGGACATGTACTCATGTGGTTCATATGAAGGGTCCAATCCAATCCGCAAGGAACAAGGAAAGGGCAGGAGGGTCATCCCCCTTCTGATTTGGTGCCAAGACGTCTTGGCCTTAGTGAAAGCAAACCATAATGTGTATGACAGTCTTGCATACCCTGCATCGACGATCAATTTCAAAAAGAGCATAATAAAGCAGGATATGATAGGACATATACATATATAGTTAGGAATGTGTCGCACACACATATGCATTGGCCAGCATCTAAATGATTGGCTTGGGCTGTATTCATAAGTAAATTAGGGCGTCCCCCATCGTTTTTCAGGTTTTGACACTTTGGGGTGGATATCGTTTTGGGGTGTTGCTCTTAGGGCGTCCCATATCGTTTTTTGGGGGTGGGGCTATAAGAACCCAATACCGACGAAACGTTTCAAATAACATGCTTTTACGATATAATATGTTCAATATTGTTAATATTAAAGTATACATGCTTATACATGTATGATTCAGAATATCATGATCTGTCTCTGCATACTTCACACCGGATCTGGATATCCTACACTCCTATTAGCAGGAAAGCTATATATATATATAAGAACCATGAGAAAGTTACAGCATGATTCCACTCCAAACGTTGGACATTGGTCTTCAAAGAATGGTCTTCTCCCAGAAGTTGCGATGGGACTCTTGAGATCCGGAGCGCCAAAGACTTGGCATCCCAAAGCTCTGGAAGGTTTCGGTTTCTTCGCTCAAAGCACATGTTTCTTCTCCCAACATCTGAACCTCAGGCACTCACGGTTCTCAGCGGGTTTGTTCGCGGGTTCGCTCCGTCGACCAGTTGGCATTCATGCTATATACCATTATTGTATATGCCCTAGCTACCAGTAGCGATGCCCTTGTTGCTAGCCATGCACTTGCTACATTCATCCTACCCTAACTCACACCTGATCAACTCAATTGCAATTGTGGACTTCTCATGCCCTCATGCCCATTACAAATATGTCATAGCGTGGCGGCACCATGATTCATACCATGTCCAGCCAGCCAAATTCATCTCGTGTCCTGCTGAACTCGGTCACTTCAAGTCTACTGCCATTGGTATATAACTGGGACATTATTTGGTTTGAGATGTGTGAGAACTGGCGGGGCAGTGTACAAGTCCTTCAACATGTTGACAAGACCTAAGATACTGATTTTGTTACCTCAAATGATGAGGGTCACGCACAAATTGTGGCATAACTCCCCTGCAAACACAATGGCCCCACCACAGAACAAGTCATCACGTCAGGATAAAATGGCTTAACATGGTCTGGACAAACTCAAAGGATTTCTTCGCACATTGGAGAATTGCAGGCCTTCTCAACATCTGCCAAGAAATGCCAAGAAGCTTGTTGTAGAGAGACAGGCCGGCGATAATGATGAACGCGATGGCGAAAATGGAGACTCCAAACATCCTGACCGTCCAATTGAATGCTAGCCAGGAAATTGCTGCTGGTGCGTGGTCTGCCAGATAGGTGGATGACCTTCATTCAAAGGAGTTCAAAGGTTCTTGTCTGGCCAACACGACCTTCACCTTTGCCGCCCTGGGGAATTCGTCGGAGATGGATCAGTTCAAGTGACTGGCCTTCCAAGAGAGGTTAAGTGGCCTTAGAGGACCCGTTTATTTGGGGTACCTATATGGGAGATAGTCGAACTAGGGTCCTTCAATCTTTGTTGGCTCAGGCCCTGATTTCCAGGGCTGCGAACCCGGACCGAGCCAACCCGCCTCTTGTGCTGATTCGAGAGCTGGTCCAAGACCTGGTCGACGGAATGTGATGGGAGAGCCACAAGGCCGCGGACGGTAACTCTTGGTACCCTCATCTAGCAGTGGAGATTTGGAGATCATGGAGAAGCTTCCACCCAAAAATCCCCTACATGCCAAAGTCTTGGATCCACTGCACCTTCCCTTGTTTCAGATCCCACCAGTTCTGTCCCTCCCACTTGGATCCACTGCACCTGCTCATTGGATCTGCTAAGGCTATCCAGGTCGCCACCTGAGTACGTCGTGCCGCACTGAGGACGGAGCAAACTCACGCGGCTCGTTCGAACGACTCGGCCCTCGGATCACAAGCCGTCTGCAGAGGCTTTCTGTGACTGTTGACTAAGTCTGGAAGAGGAAAAAACACATGAACAACAGTTTCCATGGTTGTTGGGAACACGTGAATTCATTTAGAGCGCTGTGGTGGCGCTTCCCAAGTTTGCTTCAGCAAAGCTGGGCTTTTCTGGGCATAGCCTGATTCCAACCATCAAACTCAACGGCCGTTCTTGTTTGGTGGGGCTATCTGTGCCAAAGACCAGGTCTTGCGCTCTCGATGTGCTGGATTTGATGTTCTGAAATCTGGTCTGTTGCCCGACATAGGGGCCATCCCGTTTCACCCATGTGAGGAAGCGCCATGTCCACGATATGCTGTCAACTGCTGATACGGAAACCAATCCTTCAATATGTTCCCATTATATAGTGTCTAAAGTGACCAGTGACAAGCATAAAAATGCATAAAATCATAACGTCAACCCAACTGACAAATTCTCAAACATTCCTTGAGATTGAGACGTGCCACACTGATGGTACCAATATGTACCAATCACCTCACTTTCACTCACTTCTTTGGCCCTGACAGTAGTCTTGATCTTCTCATTATTCGAGGGGCTAATGTCACCACCCGCGCTCGAGGCCGTTTTGTGCACGTGCTCGATGTCGGAATGCAGGTCTGCCAGCTTCTTCCCTCTGGCATCTGTATCCCGATGTGCGGTGGCGTGCATGTCCGCCAACTCTTTCTTGATGGCCTTAGCGGCTGAGATGCTCCCACTCAGTCCCACCTGATACCACGAAACGTCCCACCCCATGAATGGGGGAAATTCCGTGTGGCCATGCATAAAACAAACAACGCCACTGCCAATGTGTGTTACACACATGCAGGGACCCCTTCTCCTTATCCGAAACGGCACCAAACAACCTTCGAAATCTCTCTGTCAAGTCGACTGGTCCGTGCCACCCATCGGCCGGGGACTAGTACCATCCAAGGCACATCGAACTCGGCGCCCAAGTCGTGGCCGGTCTTCTTGTCGAGCTCCTGACGGCCACGACAAAACCGAAGTCCAACTGGATGAGCTTGGAAGCCTCTGGAAATTCCTAGCCTGGTCTTGCAAGTTTCGCAGTCAACATTCGAGTCCCATGGCAAGTGTGACTGTGTCTCGAAACCTTGGAGCTCTTAGATGAAGAGGTGACCGACAGCGTTTGCAACAGCAAAGGGTTTTCAGAATTCGGCCGAGCTAGGTCCCGTCTCAAATAGTCTCCTTTTGCAGAAAAACGACGTCCGGACTTCGTGTGAAGACCACACTCTCAAATACTAACGCTCCGATATCACTCTGTCTTAGGACCAAGCTGAGCCATGCTGAGCCGTATTCCGTGGAAAAGAGAGACTGGCCTTTTTCCACCTCGATCTTGTTGAGTGGGTGTGTCACGAATCCTCGTAGGAGTCGCCAAGCCCAACTCATTCTCACGCTTTAACAGTCAAGGACCGACAAGGTGAGGTGTGGGTGATCAAAGCCTCCTGCTGTTCATCTGCCGTGAAATCCATGTTCATCCCTCGTCCCGATGAACGACCCGTCCTTCTTCAGCGTTCGGAAGGTCCTTGGCACAACACCGCGTAGATTCCCATGGCCAATTCTGAAAGCCCTGAGGCCATGAATCATCTTTTTAGTATCCATATCTGTATATTAAGTCACATCACATTGTAAATGACACATATAACTATCATTATTGTTATATATTAAATTAGTATATATCGTAGTGTTACTGTTACTATATTTAACGTGATATAACTAATGCACAAATAATAGCCTATCTTCTCCCCCATGTCACTTTTGGGTAGAGGTCACCACCAACAAATCCCCACCGAGCCACATTTTCGTTGCACCAACCTCTTTCCTCCCATCAGCAGAGCCGAACGCCGTGCCGCCCCCCATGCATGCCCGCTTGCTCCATCCGCAACTCCCGCGACTCCCAGAAGGATCTCGGCCGAGGTGCTCTTCCACCGCAGCGATGCGCTTGCTGAGGGCGGTGATGGCTGCCTTCATCTGCTCCCGCTGGGGCTTGGACTCGATGACCAGCTTGAAGATCTCGGTTTCGAACGCGACAACAAAAACCCACCAGGTCGCGTGGTCTGAAAGCGGGTTTGAGCCGAGGGCGGGCGAAGCAAGTCTGAACCAAGGCAATGAAGAGGTGACAGGGTTCAAGCAAATGAACAGAACCTCATCTTCAAATCGAAGGCTCTTCAGTCGGGAGAGCAACACGGATTTACACGAATCATCAGATCGACATATCGGAGATTAAAAACTGCTGGATTGGTTCTTGCCCCTTCACATAAGCTGTCATGCAAACTTGATTAATCATCTTGATATGCACTCTCAGCAGCCCATTGCAATTGCTGGGCAGGATCACATGAAGCTCCAATGAATTCCAAGTGAGATTTCACCAACAAAAAAGGCATCCACAGAATTGAACATTATAGACATATGACTCAATCTAGGGAGCCGATATCGTCAGCCACATATGGCAATTGATGGCAATTGTGGCATGCTCCGTGTTTGTGCGGGTTTGGGAACAAAGCCACAGCAACTTCCAGATGGCCAACGCTTCAGCATGGAAACACCTCCACCACACCTCCTGCTATCCTCTATCCAACAAACATGGAAGTGAATGGCATGGCCCCTAGGAAGAATGTCCACACAGATTCTTCCAAGTGAGCCAGTGTGTGCCAAGTGCGGTTCAGCAGCCATGTTGGTCAACTCTTTGATGGCCTGGAGTTGAGCAGTTTTATCAGGTAAAGCGAATGCTTAGAGGAAATCGGGGGCGTGCTGTCTTGCACCTGTTCTCAATCTTTGAATTGGTACCTATAGTATCCTATATATAGTGGATTTAGGGTAGATGGTACAAAGGCCCTAAGGTTCAGTAGTCTACATGCAGCCCCATCCAAAAGACATCTTTGGGTGCCAGTGCCATCTACTCTGAAACCACTGTACATGCAATTGACGTATCCCATGATATCCCTACGATCTTCCGGTCCCACGTCCGTGTGGAGGAGAAGACCGACCAGGTGAGGGTGCCAACATGATAGTCAAGGGGAACGCCTTTGATCAATCAGCATCCTTCATATGAAAGAAGGCCGAGTCATGCACAGGACCAGCACCCACTCCGGCGGGATTTCGGACCGGCAAGCACCCCCAAAAAATCGACCAGCGCAAACGAGTGCCAAAATGGCACGTCAGGACCGATCTAGTCTTTTCCCATATTGTGTGAATGAACAGAAAGAAAAGAACATATACAGTACACCACTCAAGCATACATTCTATGCTAACCACTCCAGAAATGCCGAATCCACATTTTGGATTTGAACAACTAGTTCTGCCAAACACCTTTCAGTAGAGGTGTATGTGTCAGAAACGTAGATCAACCATGAATCGTGATTCTCATCTTCTGATTTGACAGGAAATCAAACACTAACTAAGTTATAAACATTTCCAAGGACATTGAACGAATGAAGCTGCGGAATAGGTACAATCATGTAGACTATTGATTAATAAGCCAACCCCACTTGAATTGAACTTCATATTATGGGGGGTGTATATATTAATCAAGAGTTTACATTATGGTATAGTGAATGCATGTGAATGCTTTCTTCAGAGCTAGCTCTCATGCGGTCTTTAGATCTCTGCCGGATGCTCCAGAGCTGCCTCGGACTCATCTCGGTGCTCCTTGAAGCTTGAGTGGGCTCCCAGAGCCTCGGTGTCGATCCGAAAGGAAGAGATCGACCGGAACAAGGGCTCGGTGGGCCATGGCAGAATGTACCGTCCTGCAAATGAACATGGGGGGGGTCTTCCCGGGGTCCAGTGTTCGATCTGGATCCCAAACACTCCATGGGACTTGCAAATTTACCTACATTGGCAGAGTGTGCCCCGGGTGGTCAGTTCCAGATCCAGTTCCGGTCACTGGGGAGGGGGGGGTTCCAGTTCCAGATCCAGTTCCAGATCCAGTGATCACAGCGGGGAGGAGGGGTTCCAGATCCAGTTCCAGATCTAGTGGTCACAGCATCTATCTTGGGGAGGAGGGGTTCCAGTTTCATTTCCAGATCCAGTTCCAGTTCCAGATCCGGATCCATGTCCACTTGCAGCTCTATGACTGCATTGCAATACCTGTGGCAAAGACACAAGATTTTCTTTTCAGGCGGCGGGGGGGGGGGGTGTCCACTTCCTGATCCAGTTCCAGATCCAGTTCCAGTGCTAGATCCGGATCCAGTTCCACTTCCAGTTCTCGAACTAATATATTTTTGTTGGGGGGGGGGCTTCCAGTTCCAGTTCCTGATCCAGTTCCAGTTCTAGATCCGGATCCAGTTCCAGTGACAGCGCTACAACTACAGTGCAATGCCTCTTGTACATTTTCTCCGGGCGGGGGGGGAGTTGCACTTTCAGATCCAGTTCCAGTGCTAGATCCGGATCCAGTTCCACTTCTCGAACTGCATTGCAATTGCTATCACATGTTTTTGTTTCTTTTTGGGGGGGGACTTCCAGTTCCAGTTCCTGATCCAGTTCCAGTGGGGAACACTATGTAAATACGTAAATATGCCATACATGGAGTGTCTGGGAAAAGGATGATTGACATTTGGGCTCGTTTTGACCTGTCGACGTCTGTCACCATCCCCAGTCGGCCGCCGCAATAGGCTCACGCCCAGAAGCATCCTCCTTCTCCTGAGCGGCGCCAATAGGCGGAGCCACCAGCACTTCATCTTCCCCGGGGCCGCTGGCATAATTCAGCACCTGGCCCGGACGGAGGGGTGTTCCAACGACGCGAAGGTCAACCGTGGGTTGAACGACAGACGTGCAAACCGTGGGGCTTTGGCATCTGGACCAGGTCGATGACCGCTGGAGACAAGGTTTATGATCAGGATGTTGATCAAGATGCATGATGAAATCGTCCGAATCTACAAGTCGTGACAAAAAACACATTGAGCACCATCCCATGCCACCCCAGTCTTCGCCTCAAACCCTTTGATCTCAACAAAGGTGCTGCGCTCCTTTGGATTGTAGGCGTCCTCAGGATGATTCACGTCCGTCATTTTGGGAGTCAACCCCCAGCAGTGGTCTCTCATGACATGTGGACGTGGAACAGCGCCAAGGTCTTCTTCGGAACTGGCTTCACTGCTCAATTCCCCCATCCACTGCTGAAAACTACAAGTCATGAGGAGGGCCTACCCAGGTGCTGGCTTCCGCACTATCTATGCCTGCATCATCTTTACAATCTTTGTGCTAAAGCATGTCATATGACCATATGATTGGCCCCTTGTGATCCTTGTAAGCTGAGTGCCCTCTATCCTTGGATGCAGCCCACCACCGCAACATACGTGGTTCCAGTGTTCTCCCCGAACACCAAAGCATCTGCACACCGAAACATCTGCTCAAAATGGGCGACTCGAACCCTCGGACGTCGAGGTCGAACCCAACAGAGGTTGAAGGACCCTAGTTCGACTATATCCCAGTTCGGTACCCCAGGTGACAGGTCCTAGTTCAGGTCACTTAACCTCTGTTGGGCTGGCACAAAAGGATTTTGCGAAAGAACACCGGTATGAACACCATTCGACATCGAACAACAGCAGTCGCTGGAAACAGCTGTCGGCTCAAACCATCTGCTTAGGGAACACAAGAAAATGGGACCACTGACAGAAATAGAAATAGAAAGTATCATAAATTATCAAACACGCAAAATTGGAACAACATCTTAACAAATCAAATCATGAATCACAGGACGCACAACATGTTCCTGTCGAGCCCTCTCTTCATGTTCCTGGTTGATTTCCGTATTGCAAAAACCGTATCCACAAACTCCCCCAACAATCACAGATTGGATTCAAAACCGGCCACATCAAACCATCTACCAATCTGACCGAACCCACGTGTCGAAAACAATGGTCTTCCGCGGTCTTCCGCTGTCCTTGGTGCCTCCAAAGCTGGAAAATCCCAGGTACCCACCGGGCTTCAAGCTCCTGAGAGCAGCAGAACCACCGGGGGCCGGTTCTCTTTTCTTCTCTTCTCTTCTCCTCACTCTTCTCTTCTCTTCTCCTCACCCTTCTCTTCTCTTCTCCTCACTCTTCTCTTCTCTTCTCTTCACTCTTCTCTTCTCCTCACTCTTCTCTTCTCTTCTCCTCACTCTTCTCTTCTCTTCTCTTCACTTCACTCTTCTCTTCTCTTCACTCTTCTCTTCTCCTCACTCTTCTCTTCACTCTTCTCTTCTCTTCTCTTCTCTTCTCTTCTCTTCTCTCTCTCTCTCTCTCTCTGTCTCTCCCCCTCCAGCAGTGACAGTCGAGCTGTCCACCACTGTGCAAGGCATGCACAAAACAGAAGTCTCTACAAGAGGTACATGAGGGCGAACTTGGCTGGTTTCGCGTGAGGCGTTGCTCCTTCACCGTCAACTCATCTTAAGTTCTGTCTTTGGATCCTCCGTGATAAGGCCAAATTAATCATGAGGCGTTATGAAGGAAGGTAAGGTCAAAAATGCTCTTTGATTTATTGCTCTATATATAGCAGAGTGCGTCTCCCCGTCGATATGCTCAACATGCCAGGTGGATGCGAGCTGAACATTCCACCCACATACTTGGTATTAGTGTAGTCGTGATTTATAACCGCCCAGCCAATTGAATTGGATTGTAAGACCCCTATCACATGCGGTGTTCTACTATAATCAAGAGTCTACATAACTTCTTACATGGCTATGGGTCATGGCATCAAGGCACCTTGGTTGACTGAACATGAACAGACTAGACTCTAGAGGGAGGCGAACCTACCAGGGTACCGGGCTGCGGGAGTTGACCCAATATTTAACAGTAACATGTACGGCCCATATGTTTCAGGAAACCACAGTGCTTGTACTTTGGACATCAAATGAACATCACGAACTCGTTGTTTTGGTACGCTAGATGGGTCAACCCTTCAACCGCATCCTGCCACCCTCTCTTGCGCGTCTTTGGGGGTGCTCTCGTGCGCTCGTCCCAGCGTCATGGGAGATGAGACGGTTCCTTTGGCCTCTCCTTTGCCTTGGTCGGTCCGCGCGCGAGCAGCCCGTCTGCGCCGAGGTCCACCGGTGACCGGTGACGAACCCAAACGACGAAGGCTTCGTTCCCCGAAATGCACATCAGATTCCAGAGGTGTTCCTTACGCGCTCAAAGGTCTAGCAACAAGAATGCCATAAAACACAACCACCATGAATAGCCATATGAATAAATAGCATGCCCCAAACAAGAATCTCGGCTCAAGTTTCAAGTGATATTACAGTATAATGTATAGATTGTCAAATAGGCTGCAGGGGCTTAATAAAAGTTGTCCTTGAGAACCCCGGAGTTGCAGAAGAAAGAAACCAATGACTAATTCCTAACATCTGGTGTATACACTATATATATGACGAAGGACCGGGGGTCGACCTGGTGTAATCGTCCATTCGTCCCCCCACATCCTCAACTTTGGAGGGTGAATGGTTGCACACTCAGAATAGGATGGGTCAAACGTATACACTCAACAGCTTTGGTCCAAGCATTGAAGTACGACCCCAGAGGTTTTTCATCCCATCGAATGGGCAAGTCGTCCCGTCACCTCATGGGCACAGCTAGGTGGAGTGAAGACCCATTCAATAGTCTTCCCCTTTGGATGGCTAGAAATGCCCTGTACTAAAAGCCTCGGTCTCTGGACCGGCGTCTCTTCCAACCCCCACTCAGCTCCACCCGAGCGAGCTGCTGAAGATGCTCACGGTGACGGTGTCCGGTGTCACCCGGACCTTCACCTGGTGGTCGTAGCCATCTCGCAGCTCCATGGGCGTCTGGTGACCCACCTGACCGACGCGCGGGGCGACGCGTTGGAGTCGGTGCGCAGAAGGTGCGCCGCGGTGGGTCGCCGGTCCCGGCTCCTGGCCTACCTCCTGAGAAGATGGTGAGGGTTTGGTGAGGGTCTAACATGGTCTAACCACCAAATAGTAATATAACATAACAATAATGCATATCCGATAATATATAACAATGATAAAATAACTTTAAGATAACATGACATAACATAACCACCATTAGCCATTATCATTATATAACCACGGGCCGATCTCGAGCCATGGCCAAAAATGATGGACGTTGGGAAGGGCAAAGCCCACACACTCCATGTATGCCTACAGTACTACTTTTTGCTATATTGGGTGGTTGCAAAGGGGTTAATGATGGTAAAAAAGGTCAATCTTCCAGTCCCAAACGGTTGGGAGTCCGAACCAAGTCTGACCAACCGTGGTCCAATGTCGTCCGGGTCACGATCAAACACGATCTCACCAGGCACCCCAACAGAACTGGTGCCATCTCCGTATTTCACCTGCACCACTGGTTGGCCCTGATCGTCTTTGACGAAGAAGACCTGAGATCAGAACGCAGCCCCCGATCGGTCCGATCGGTGCCGCGAGAACCAAGCCCGAAGGATGGCTGATCCTGCCGATAGCCGAAGGTGGCAAGGAGTCGGGTTGGAAGGAGTCGGTTCCGACCTCAAGAGATGCCGGAACCGTGGGATAAAACAAGACCCTCAGCAGAGGCCAAAATGGGCCCAGGAACGCCCAGGCCCTTGTAGTGAGTTTTGTAGCCAAACTCGGAGAGATCCAGCATCGCATAGTGCTGGTACCTCGGGGGGCGGTCGCTGGTCCGGTCGGTCAAGAACCTGAACGGACCGAGCAGTTCGGGGTGATCAAGACCCACAAAGGATGGATCAACTCATGTCGGACACTGCAACCGCTCCAAATATATATAGTATATAAATATCCCTAGTAGCTTCTTGCTCCTAGTAGCGACGCCAGGAGCCCCTAATAGCGTCCTTGCTCCTAGTAAGGCCAGGAGCCCCTAGTAGCTTCCTTGCTCCTAGTAGTAAGGCCAGGAGCCCCTAGTAGCTTCTTGCTCCTAGTAGCGATGCCAGGAGCCCCTAATAGCGTCCTTGCTACAGCATGCTGGCTGCCATAGCTATAATCATCAAGTTGAAAGATTCAATTTCTACACGAGCTGCACCATTGAAGTTTGACGGTCTGAAGGGTTTGCACCTTTGCACCTGAAACATTTCCCACCCATCATCCCAGGCAGCTCACCTAGAATCTTGGTGTCTGGAAGACGGTGCCCCAAACCCGCCAGTTGGACGTTCAAAACCCTTCAAAGCCCATCACATAGTTCAAGAAGATCTCCGACATGCTAGGACTAAGCACTCGCGAATGCTCGCTCTTCCCCTTGTCCCAGCCATATAGGCTTTTGACAACCAAGTCGCCAGGTTCCAGCAACCAGCTCAAACTGGTTATGACTATGCTTGCTACTGGCCGAGGCCAAAAGATCGCTGGCATTCTCCTCGTCGTTGTCGGACGAACCGGACGGGTTCGGTCGAAGCTGAGTCACAGTCGAAGCCGTGGTCGTGTCCAAATCCTTTCGACATGTTCCACAAGGTCTGGAAGAGGTCTGCCGGTCGAAGAAGTGTTGCAAAGAAGGCAGCAACATCAGGACCCTCCAGTTCGAAAGAGCTTGCTGCCTGCAAACTATGATAGTCAGGAATATGATGGAAAATGGGATAACCATGGATAACCTAAGCTCCAATGATTTTAACCCTCTGAAAGCCCAGCACTCTTCCACCCTTCCACGCAGCACTCTTCCACCCATCGGTCCGTCCTCGCAATACCAAAAGGCGAAGCCATCGCCCTGGAAGCCTGGCACACCGGCTCTGGCCACCAACCTGAGGATGGAACACCCTGGCAAGACCTGTTGGGAGATGGAGAGGAAGGTGCCATTGAAGAGATGGCGTGATCATCTGGGAAATGGTGTATGTTTAAAGTATTTCACCCACTAAAAGCCCAGAAGTACCTGTCCGAGCAAAAAAGGTGCCGCGGCGTGCGCCATCTACTCTCAAGCCACTGTCAGCAAACAGGATCCAGCTCACACCAAGCTGCTCCCCCAACATCCCCCAACAATAAACTTCCAATATCTTCCAATGGCTTCTGCTCTTGGTTCCCCAACGTGAAGGAAGCTTCAAAATCGTTGGTCTTCAGTGGCATCCGGCTAAAGATGGTGCCCACGCGGTCAGCCACGCCAGGGGTAAGGATCACGCTATTGTGAGCCGGCATGGCCGTACCTGCGCAAATATGGCATGCCAGGCCGGAGAAGCTGAGGTGGTGCTGCTGTAGCTGGTGAAGGGCAACAAAAAAAGCAACACAGCATCTGAACTCTTCTTGTCCTCAAGCTACTCTCAAGCTCTCCGTGCCCATCCAACCCGCCATCCTGCCTGTAAGCTGCCAAAGCTTCGCTAGGTGATGGACATCAGGTGGGTTGGGTATAGAGTGCCCAGGCAGTGGCGCGGTTGCACCACCGGCGAGGCCGAGCAGACCGAGCCAACTCAGTGTCCATGTGGCCGGGGGACACCACATCGGTGTCCCCACCCCTGGGACGGTTCCGCGAGAGAGCATGGGAGGTCAGGGAAGATAGGGAGGCGCAACCTATGGGGGAGGTCATTCAGAGAGGGCCCCTTCTGATGCGGAGATGTGATTTTTTTCTGGACACGAGATGAGCCAGAAAAGTCCCAGGTTTGTGACCAAAGACAGTGACAACTTATCCGTCAGGGTGCTCCGTCAGGTCTGTGATCTCAGATCCAAATGTCGATCGACATGGCCGATCGATGGTCCTTCTACAAGATATATAGTCATAGTCGGTGGGGGTTGGATTTCTAAGGCTTCAGTTCTTGAAAACTGGAAACAGCAAAGTATCACATATATGACCGCTAGGGCTCCACTGCCGCCGTACCTCAGAAGGTACGACTGAACCCTCCTGGCACCCACAGCATCTCCAATCAGGCAGCGAGCTTCTCGGACCGATGTGGACCCAGAGAGTGCCATGTGCCATAGGGCCTATGTGGGCATACTTGGCATGATATATGCAATTTCAAGTGTATACCATATGACCAAGTAATACCATGTAATACCACATGGTATATTTATACAATTTGTATACAATACTTACCAAGTAATGTGTTCAATTTCATGTGGCCAATGAACCAATGGTTTTTTTCCATTTCACTCCCGCCTCGCGCCTCCAGCCACTCCCCGGGCCGCCCCCCAAAACGGACCAAACCTGCAGCCTCTTTGAGTGGAAAGCTGCAAGAGACGGGCTGAGTGGAATGCGACAGGTGTGCGCCTTTTGTCGAACATGTCTGCAGGTCACTCTCGACATAGGTTCTGCAAAACATGCGATTTTGTAGAGATCACCCACGCTCATGCAAGTTCTGCCAAGTTGGCTTGTCACAGGCCATGTTTGTCACAGGCCAGTTTCTGGGTGGAAAGCTGCAAAGCTGAAATCACCTGCCCAACCGGACAACACAAGTGCATGATCCATGCCTTTCCGAAAGGAATGAAGCCTGGTCCATCCTTCTTTGGATTCAAGATTCAAATCTGGGACCCGAATCAATCATGGCCGTCTCCAAGTCTTCGAGTCGTCTTGATTGAAACTTACCGCAAAAGGGATCCGTGTAGGCATATTCATTGAATTTCATGTCTCCCAAACACTCCTTAAAGCCTTGTACAGGACCGGGATGTATGCCTACATTGACCACTGGAACCACCCCACTGTAGGTATATATGCCATACATGTGGGCTCTGGGTAGGCATACTTCTTATATAGTCTCATGAAGTGCTTCGCCGCTTCGCGCACGCCTTGGACATGGCAGACCCTAGCTCATCCGGCGGACGACCTGATGCAGTGGGGCACCGCCCAAAATGGACGAAAGTGCCGAAGTGTCCCACCTAGATCAACCGATGGAGTGAGTCTATCTCAAATCATGCTTTCTTCTGGGTTCAGGCCTGCAGCTGAGAAGGTATCCTCTGGAGGGTCGTTGGGATCCAAGAATCATCTACAGTAATAAATATATAGCTATAACATGTCATATGATGTCTCCAATGGTGAGCAATTTAAGAGAAAGGGCACGTTTGGAAGTCCGGTGCACTATATATATATATATATTATAGGTGTGTGTGTGTGTGTGTTCCCATGTTCCACTACGATAAGCTTGCACATGGATTCACTGATTTGCTGATAAAGCAAGTCCACTACATACAATCTGATTGGCCACTGTTCAATCATGGCTTCTAAACAATTTCAGGTTTCAATTGGGGTCCGGTGTGCCCTTATCGAGTCCGTTGTGGCCCTGATGATCTGAGTCGGTATCCAAAATCCTTGCTTTCATTTCAAGGTGTCCGCCGAGATCAGCCACTTTGCAGGAAAAGCTTGTGCACTCACACTATGTGAACAAGACTCTTGGTTTTACACCAAAACTCACAATTGCATCCTACAACATCTCCATCCGCACGAGCCCACCCAAAAGAGAAGGACGAGACATACGCACCCGGGCAGGGGTTCACCGTCGTGTTCACCCAGTGCATCTACCGATGAATCCCAAATCGCCCAGCTGCATATTTCACGATATATATATATATTATATTATTATGAACCTACCAAGAAAATCAAGAGCGGTTCAGTGACCTTAAACGACCCTACTGCGGTACCTGTCAAATGGTCTATCAAGTCTATCCTTCAACCTCTGTTGGTACTTAGGGGGCCCACTGGTCACCCAGAACGGATGCTTCTGGCTCTCCCCGTCGCCCCAGGCGGTCGCCCCAGGCGGTCCCAGGCGCCGTGCGCGCCTTGGCTCTCTACGAGCCCCGTGGCCTGGCACTCATCGCCACATCATCGCACCATAGCCGAAGGCAAAAAGGAGGAAGTGTGGCAAACATGGCTGAAACGATGTTACTGTATAGTATAGTAAGTATACTGACTGTAATATGTTACAATCAGTAATAGTATTAGTCATAATGCCTTCGAGAACCACTTCCGCAAAGTTCAGCGAAGGTTTCTGGGCACCATTCCACAAATGGGCGACGAATGGCCCCAGGTTCCATGAATGGCCCGGGCCACTGTAGTACAGTAGAATTTGCAACATCCGTTCTGTTCTGTGAACTACCCTTTCCTTTGCCTCACATTCAACAGGCTATAGGACTGGGAGGTATAATCAAGTGTCATGAAACATCTAATCGTGCAATTTATACACACCTTTATTCTCGGCTCAAACACCGAAAGTCAGAACCCCCTTGCGGGCGCTCCCTTGATGGTGCCTCCTCTTCAGGCTCGAGTCTCAACAACTTGGCCAAGTCCTCAGAAGGCTCCTGCACTGCTGCACAGGAGAGGATGGAGAGGTTCCAATGCTCCTTGGATGGGAAGGTTCCTTGAGGGAAGGCGACCTGACCATACAGAACCCGACACAAAGCATGGCTGGCGTGGCAAAATTCTTTGTAACGCATGCTTCCAGTCATTGCTCGATTACGATTGATTCAATTCGGTGATGCAAAACACACATCCGAAAATGATACAGGACCTCTTCAAACTTGACCCCGACCAAGACCCTCCACACTTCTCACGCTCGGAGACCTGTAATGACCTGTACAGTCCAATGCTGGGAGCGGTCTTGCTGACATGCTGGTGGGAGGTCCCTTTTCTAGGGGGTCCCTTCGTTTGGAGTTGCATCCAAACCATGGATCACCCTAGTCCCAAGTCAGAGTCAGAGTTTTAGAAACCAAAAACATTTGGCTCAACACGCGAAAACCATACCAGCATCCTCCAACAGGTCTTCTCTAAAGTGTTGTTGGGCCCTGTTGGAGGTCTCACGTGGTGACCTGTTGGAGGTTGCGGATACGGGCCATTTGGTGTTCCATCTGTTGAAACATGTTGAAACCAACTGCAGGTGCATGTTAATTGGTCCTATAGACACCCAGGAAAATCACCCAAATCCTCCGCACGAAAATGCCCGCTCTTCCTCCAACTCCTCCGTGGAGCGAGCCTCGTCCTGGCCATCGCGTTTCAGAAACACCCCCCTGGGCCACGCGAATCTGAAAATCCGGGGCTGGCCTCCTGTCGCGCGGCCTTCCCACACTCGTCCGAATCAACGCCCTGGGCCGCGTGCTCAGGCGATCGAGAAAGCTTGACGACACCGATATCGTGTGTTCCTTGGACAGCCAAATATTTGGGAAGTCTCCAGCTATGACGCTCGTTTTCACCTAACGGACCCCGTGATTTGCCGACAACTGGCCATGGACTGCAAAGCCGGTGTGCTGGTGGATTTGACCCTGTCAGCCACCTGAGCCCCTGGGCCCCATTTCTCAAAGTGCAGTGCATGTGGATTTCGAAGGAGCCATGCGTGCCTATATAGGTGCCTTCCGATCCTTCCTCAAGTGATGCAGACTCAGTGTAGGCCTCCTATTCTGCTTTTCACTGGTAACATTGACCCTTCATCTACCACAGCGACCATGGCAGGGACCTATAAGCCTATAGGATCCAATAGGTCTTTGTATAAAATGGCTGCACCCCCCGCTCGGCGACCCGGCTTGAGCATGCTCCACGATCCGGCAGGCTTTGTCTTTTCCAGTGCCCTGGAAGCACATGGCATTCATCCAAGCAGGTTTTCGATGTTTTCTGGATGTGTCTGGCATCGCTTTTGACATGAATGGTTGATCTTCCCTATACTACCCGATTTCTTCAGCCTCAATTGCTCCCAGTGTGGGCTTTGTTTGTCGCTTTGATGACAAAAATCTTGCGAGATTTCGCCCATTTCTCGCCCGAACCGCTCTCCTTGGACAGCCCTTTGGTTTTCTTTTGAGCCTTTTGTTGGCTTTCCTGGCCCCGCTTGGACGCGGACGCGGGTCCGGTGTGCCCATAGCGACGACCGTTCGGGGGAGTATCCATAGGTATCCCAGGAACCAGCTCGCCGGTACGCGATCACCGGTGCCGTACGCGAAAACATGGGCTCCAGTTGGGGACATCAACTTCAACCCGAAGGCCACCAACTTGCAGCACGATGAGGTGGAACCCTATATGATGAATCCATGTATCTTCGAAAAGAAGGTCATCGAAGACACCTCTATTGCAGGTTTGTCCAAGAAGATGGCAATGGATCTTCTTACCAAATCGGTCGAATGAAAACGGGAACCCCCACGACATCGGGATTCGGACTCCTTTTGTCAGACCCGACGGGCAAACGAAACATGGGCCACGTCACGTGGCCAGTTATAGGGGTTACCCTCCAATCATGGACATATTTGAAGTGGATGAGACATGATGAGACGTCATCTTATACATGTTTTGGACGGAATTCACACGCCACCTGCTGTCGTCCATTCCTTGTGAATCCTTTGTCGGTCCTCCTGAGAACACTTTATTCAATGCATTAGTTTGAACGGCCCCCTGCATCGAAGACTGGCCCAGGAAAAAGAATGCACCTCTCTGAGTGACTGACATGGAACTACATGTTTGTAGAGGAACAATGATCATCCCAGGAGCTTTTTGGTACGCAGGCTTCCATGAGGGTTTCAGGGAGCCTAAGCCAAGCAAAAGCTTTGGGGATGGATGGGATGGGGAACCCTATCCATGTCCCTTGACCCACTCAAAAGGGTGTTCCTTGACGTATCGAGGGGCTTGCACAGCTCGGAAACCCGCACCTTTCTGGCTGAGCTTTTCGGAAGGCCTCACACGAGCGTTTCGTGAGTCCGCGGAAGTGTTCGGCTTTCTTCACCGCTCCAAGAGCTTCGGCTGCGTTTTTTATGTCCGGGCACTTCATAACACAACAATTGCTTGGTTGAAGACAATGACTTTCTCCAAACAAATTCAACAATCCGGCATAACCCTTTGACAAATGGATCTGCTATGACTTGCTGTCTTAGATCTGAAAGCCAAGTAGCTCTTCGCACTGCTTTTGCAGTCGCTCTCATTGAGGATCGCCTCCTCTTTCGCTTTGGCCTCACGTCCTGTGGGACAACGGCCCGGCTCCGCGTCGCCGGTGTGGCACCGCACGTCGCGACTGCCAGGGCCAGGTGAGTGCGTCACCAATGCGCCAGGGCACGTGATTGATCCATGCCGGACCAGATCAGAACTGGAGTTTCTTTCAGTTTCATGGAGTTTCTTTCAGTTTCATGGAGTGTCTTTAAGTTTCATGGAGATTCTTTCAGTTTCATGGAGTTTCTTTCAGTTTCATGGAGTTTCTTTCAGTTTCATGGAGTGTCTTTAAGTTTCATGGAGATTCTTTCTGTTCACGCACTTCCATGTTTGAAGGTTCAC